TCACTTTGTAACTCACAAATTATTGTGAGTCATTATATTGGACACAGTCTCTATATTGGAATCATACAAATACCTTCCGCTACGAACTCGCGTTTCTCTCGAATCTCTCGGAAGAAGATCACGACACTATGCTTAACCCACGTTAGTTAATATGTAAGCAGACAAAGACGATTCTGATGACAACAAGGATATCGTTCCACTCCTCTCGCTCCGCCCAACTAATTCGCTTGAATTTTGATTTTCAATAAGAGGAGACGGGGCCCAGCCGCAGCAGTTATGCACGTGCACGCAAGTGCAGACGCAGGAACGTGTCTCGTCTGGGAGGGAAGATAGGGACAGAGGGACCTCGGGGTACCGAAACCGGGGTGTTCGAGAGGCCAGTGGCGGAGACGCGCGTTGGGATTTAGCTTCCGTGTACAGCTGTATCGTGCCGGGGGTTTGAATATGCATGATGCATGGGCATTAAAGCTTGCCTCCTCTGGCGTCCCCGCGTATGCAAATAGCAGGCTAGCACCGGTACCCGGTTCCGCCACCTCGAACAGCCGCGCCGCAGAGAGTTGCCGCTGATACCCGCGAAACGGGAAATTGTGGGTGCGTGAACTTTTTTTCCTCCGATTTTTCCTCCTTCCCCTTTCTACTTTCCATCTGGCTTTTTCGCCACTCGATTCCGCGGCGCAGTTTTTGGCCGCGAAGCTACAGGCTTGTTCGCGAATCCAGGATTTTTATTAACCGACGCGGCGGCATGGGGAAATCTACAGGTAATCCGCGAAGGCGGGTATAAAATAATAACACGGCTGCCGTGAATTATCGCCTGGTTGAATGTCGAATAATTCAAATGTTAATCTACCTAAATTAACAGTTTCAGAATGTTTGTTACAATATTAAATAGATAAAGTATTAGATTTTCATGCTGTTTCCATTGATATACTTCGGCTTCAGACGTTATCAAGCAGAATTTATGCATGTATGACGGATTTAATATTCTAATGTATGATTTTGGCACTTTTTGATGGCATTGTATCTGACTTGCACTTGTCTACTCCGTCCACAAGTCCTAGAATTCTTACTTTTTATTGTTTATCTTAAATAATATCATTCAAGTTGATTTTATTTCAACATTAATATATTTTTAAAACGTGA